GGCTATGTCAGGTTGTACTTGCTGGGACATACACGAATACCTGGGGAATTTTGTCTGCTTTTGTTTTTCTTTTTTTAAGTAGCCGCATTACATGAGTTCAGTCTTATCAATTCTCTTACTGGGCTTCAGAGGGCTGAGCATTTTCACATTCATAATTGTGGATCTTGGGAAAAGGGAAGAAAAATGAGTTAGAGGGAATGAGGGAAAATATTAACTCGATACCTTTAATTTACAGCAATTCTGTAGCTCTTTTAAATGTTCCTTAGTCTTGCTGGTTTTGATGCCATTTTAAATGCCAACTGTGCCTTAAAATTGTTCACTTTCTAAGCATGTTAATGTGAAGGAAGTTTGGGTTTTTTTTCCTGCAGTTGTGTTATGTAGCATGGCTGGTTCTGCTTGAATGTCATTACAGCAGTGAGATGTTTCAATGTGCCCTGTCAGGTGGCAGCCAGCAGCTGTGCATGCCAAGTGCAGGTCCTTCTCTATTGTTTCCTGGCTTAGATCTTTCTGATATCATTTCTATGGAGATCATCTCACTGGAGAGAGTAAAAGGGAATTTATAAAACTTTTAAAACTCTCTTTATTTTTACCATTCAGCTTGTTTCCATGGAAATGGGATCTATAAGATTGTCAGTAGCAAAGAGCTGAAAGTGAGAATTCACTTGTAGATTTTATTAGGTGACTCCCAGCTGAGATCTGCAAATACTGGAGAGCAAAATAAGGAATAAACCATTTAGGACAAGAAAAAAGGACAAACTAAGATATTGGAAAAAACGCTGTCTGCTTTGTTTTTATCTTCATTGGATGTGATAAATAAGGAAATGCTTATTTAACTGTTCTTGGGTGTGTGAGTTGTGTGGACACACTTGCAATTTTCTTCAGACTGTTTTTTAGGATAGCAGCAATTCTATATAACAAATATAGTCCATCCCTTTTATAGGATGGGCTTTTTGACAGACCTGACCATTTCAGTGGATGTCTGTGTGCAGTGAGGGATATGTGTCAGCAAATTGCATTGCTGCAGTTCAGGTTCAGTGAATTTTCAAATGTTAGCTTATGTTTTTGTGTAAGAAGTAGTTGGCAACTCCATTTCTGAAATTACCTACCTTGCTGAAAGGAACTGGTTTGCTAACCAGTAAACCAGATCTGTGTGGCATGAATCTTACATATTGTGTTGCTCACTTTAGAATGGAAATCTTTCTTCTGTTGACAGATAAGAAATAAGACTCCTCACCACTGAGGATTTGCCTTAACAGATGTGTCCTCTTAGCAGGCAGTAAAATGCAGGATAGCTGAAGTCAACAGATTTTGCTCCCCAGTCTCATATCCCATGTTCTTTCTTTCAGTTCCCTGCATGGAAATCCAGTCTTTATCCCTTTGTGTGCTTGATATCCAAATGTGTTGATGTTAAGTCTGCCACTACCTTTTCTTACGCGAGTGAGCTAAGATCCAGTGGCTAGGTGGAGTAAGTGCATAACCCTTCAGTTTTAGACAATTATGCCTTGAGCAAAAAGGCAAGCAGAAAACAGGGAGGGAAATTTCTGGCTTAGGATAAAAATGCAGCAAAATTTTTAAGAGCAGTTGGTCTCTTCCCTAAACTGCTGAGTGAGGGCCTGGGCCTAAGTACCCAGTGTGTCAGTCCTTTGTGTTCTGCTAAATCCTGTGTTGCCTGTGGCCAATACTGAGCAAATCATGGCAATCATGAATTTACCATCTCTCTTCTTCAAACAACACAATATGACCTCAAAAAGGGATCACTTAAGAGAGCGAGCATAGTTTAGAGATAAGTCAAGGTTCAGGATTTGTTGAAATAACTGGTGTCTTCGGGGGAAATTATGACAGTTTTCATCAAGCTGAAAGTGGCCCATTGTATGTTCTTTTCTGTAGCATGGTGTCACCAAGATGTTTTCTCATCAGACAGTGATGTGTTTAAAAAAAACCATGAAATACATTAATCTCTTCTTATGGTGTTTATAATACCCTTGGTGATACAACCTACTGGATTTTAATAACTAGCTCATTCTGATTTTGTAAATCTACAGGGTTTTGGTTTAAAATAACAAAGTGGGGAACATTGAAAGAAAATTTCAGTGTTATATAGCCAGTACAAAATTTAAATTAGATAATCAACTCTTTATAATGGTCTCTGTACAGTTGTTAGATATTAGTGAAGTCCAAAAATGAAACAAAGATGTTGTAAAGTAGCTTGTAGAGATATGAAAACAGCTGAGACTTTATCTAACTAAAATCTCAGTGTGATTTGTAGCCTAATCTCATATTCTGTGTTTGGATGTGACAAGTAATCTTGGAATCTTTTTTCTACCAGTCTTCAAGTTGTATGTTCTTCTATTTAAAAGACTCCTCCTTTATGATACATGTAAAATGTAACCTCTTATTCACACTGTTGTTGATTACAGTATTAAACTAGTATTTTTAAGTCTTTCCTCCCAAACATGTTTTGGGCATTTCTTCTTCATAAGTTCTGGAACTCCAGATGTAAGCATCTCCAATGAGATGCTTCTGTTCGTTTGGTTTTGAGGTTTCAGGGAATAGTAGTTTCTTACAAGTAAAATGTTTATAAATACTTATAATTTTATTAACTAGGAGTTTTAATATGAAACACACCCTAAAGAAAACTGGAGTGTATTTGATAAATTGGCTTTTTGTTGTCTGCACTGAATTTAACTATTGCTTTTCCTGACTGTTTTTACCAGAAGAGAAATGCAACACTTAGGTAAATTTAAAAGCAGATTGTGTTTCACACAGGAACAATGTGCCCTTGTCAGAGACCGTCACAGACTGAGTTCTGTCACAGACTTTTCTATAGCATTAAAGTGGCATTTTGGGATGGTGGAGTTCTCCTTGTTTGCACTCAATATCTGACACCAGTAATAAAGAGCATAAGCCATCAGACTCACAGCTGTATTTACAACCATGTCCCCGTGCAATGGCTGCACAGAAATATTCCATGGCAACCCTTTTTGAAATATTTTATAGGTATGATGTTTAGGCTACTATTTCTATTAAATAAAATGTTTGTCTTGGCCAGTGGATGAATTCCTATAAATTGGGCTATCTGGGAGCAAAATGGAAAGGCACAGGTATGAAACATGTGAGCTCTGCTTTGAACCAACTAAAGCACCATCCATGTTGGATCAATCCATCTTGTTTTAGTCTTTGAAACCAGTTACTGAAGCCCTGAGCCTTTACTTTCCTACAGAATTAGTAGATTTGTATTATTAAGCACACAGCTAAGAGCTAACTTTAGGGCTTTAATTTCTAAGTTCAGATTGAGATATTGATTCAGAGTGAATATGTAAATATTTCTTATGAGAATTTCATGGCAAGGGTAGGATCTGTTGGATATGTTTTCCTTAATGTATTTAAGAGACAGTAGTTTGTTGAGGCTCTTTTGTTTTAAGCTAGTTTAGGCCACTTCTGAAGACTGTTCTGTATTTTAAAAATTACATTGTTTTTAAACCACACACTTACTTTTTTAATTCTGGGCTTGTTGCAGTGGGGTGTTGTTTGGGTGATTTGTTGTTCGATTTTTTTTTTTTGGTATTTGGTTGTTTGGGGAATTTTTGTTCTTTTTGAGACCTCTCTGGAGCACGTAACATATCTTCCTCTTAATATGACTTGATACACAAATAAATGTAGAAAACCTTTTGTGCTTCTATTTGTTTATTCTCTCAATTTACATTGTGACTATATTTGTGTATAACACCTATTTGTATAATAATGATTAAATGTAACAAGAAGAATCATCAAAAGTGAGGGCCTGTAAAGGCCTTCGCTTCCCTTATTTTTCTGCATAGGTCCCAGCTGGGTACTGCAGTGACCAGGAATTCCAATCCTATGATTGCAAGTGGCAGCACTTGGAATTATTTTTTCAATGTGAATTCCAACAACTGCTTGAATTCATAGTTTTCAGACTAATGAAGCCACAGGTTCCACAGGTTGGAGTGGTAGTTTTTTTGTTGTTTGTGGGATTTGTTTTGTTGTTGTTTTATTTTTTTCTGCTGCTTCTACCATGATGGATCAGCGCATTTAAAAGATGCACTAAAACTTCTGGTGGGGTACAACATTTTTGGATACAGAACTATAACTAGTCCTGTGTTTTGATATGAAAACATCTCTATCTAATGCTGCATTGATATTTTGTGTGCCTAGTGAAAAGCTGACTATATTGAAGATATTTTGGGGATGTTTGTAATTTTTTGGAGTAGCTGATTATGTAATAAATTAGGTATTTGATATGAAACACATGGATAATATTTCTTTTTTTTTTTTTTTTTTTGAGAACCTCTATGCAGGAATTTCCACCAGAATTTGAGAATGTTTGGTGAAGCTGGTGTAAGGAAAACCTGGAGGGGGGATAGGGAGGAGAAAAAGGCTCCTCCACCTTTGAACTCCAAGAGAATTCATAAAGGCAACAACAGAACAATACCTGTGACAGTTGGGTTTTGGTTTGTTGTTTTGGTTGGTTGGTTTTTGTTTGCAGGAAATAAGTGTAATACAGGTCCTATGGAGCTAGAAATGAAACATCTCTATATACAGTTAAATGTTTTTAGGGTAATTGTGTAAACCAGTGAGTGCCATGGGCCTGGAAGTTGCTTTGAAGACTGCTGGAGAGCCAACCCCCTGGCACACCAACCAAGAATGGTCTAGAAGACTTTATCTGCATAGGTGACTGTGTGACATACCCAGGAATCTTCTCAACCTTAATAAATTTGCTAATATAATCATGACCAGTATTTCTTTCTTTGCTGAGCCCTGGTAATTTTTTAATATTTCTATTAATTGAAATTTCTGAAATAGCTCATGTTCTGTTCTATAGTTGGATCTGCTTTTAACTACTGTCTTTCCATCATACTTGAAGTAAATAATTATTCTTAGTTTAGCCACAGGTGCATATACATGGGGCATGTGTATGTGTATGTATGAATGGGCTCTCTGGGTATGCATATGCACAATAAATATTTTCCTTTTCTTTTCAGTGGGATGCCATAACTGAAATGGATGAACACAACCGTCCCATTCACACTTACCAGGTGTGCAACGTGATGGAACCAAACCAAAACAACTGGCTTCAAACCAACTGGATCTCCCGGGATGCTGCACAGAAAATCTACGTGGAGATGAAGTTCACCCTGAGGGACTGCAACAGCATTCCTTGGGTACTGGGGACCTGCAAGGAAACTTTCAATCTCTACTACATGGAGTCAGATGAGTCTCATGGAGTAAAATTCAAGCCAAACCAGTACAGTAAGATTGACACTATTGCAGCTGATGAGAGCTTTACCCAGATGGATTTGGGCGACCGCATCCTTAAACTCAACACGGAAGTCCGTGAGGTTGGGCCAATAAACAAGAAAGGGTTTTATCTTGCTTTTCAGGACATTGGAGCCTGCATTGCTTTGGTTTCAGTCCGTGTTTATTACAAGAAGTGCCCTTTCACAGTCCGGAATTTGGCCATGTTTCCTGACACAATTCCAAGGGTGGATTCTTCCTCTCTGGTGGAGGTTCGGGGCTCCTGCGTGAAGAGCGCTGAGGAACGGGACACCCCAAAACTGTACTGTGGGGCAGATGGGGATTGGCTCGTGCCTCTGGGACGGTGCATCTGCACCGTGGGATATGAAGAACTGGAGGGCTCCTGCCATGGTAGGAAAACATTGGTGGATTTTTATTTTCTTTTTTGTTTTTAATTTAAAAAAATAGTCTTATAACGTCATATGTACCTTGCATGTTCTCTTCTGCTGCTCAGAATAATTTCACAATGACTCGAGAATAAGATGCTCTCTTCTGTAGTAATAATTGTAAAGAAAGCCTCAGAAACCACTGAGATGTGAGTCTACTGTGATTTACATTTGCTTTTTAGCAAAAAGGGAGAGAAAGAGTCCATATTCATAAGTTACATAAATGACTGCTGTTTTGCTGCAGAGTTTCTCAGATTCAATGGTATTAGGCAAGGAGCAGAGCAACCTTAGATAATGCAGAGCATTAAAAGCACTGTGCATTGTAATCAGAAAATGAAAGTCACTTTGTTGTCTGGTCTTGCTGGCATTAATTATCAAAACATACTCATTGCAAAGATACAATGTTGACAATGCCATTACTGGAAGCAAGCATCATTTTCTACATGAGGTTAAAAGGTTTCTCTCTTAATGGAATAAGGATTTTCTTTGAGACTTTAATGCTGAATGAATTTCTGTCCATTATGGGAGTGAGTCATACTCTGGATCTCTACATGAGCAGTACAACCAGCAGAGTTCACCAAAAATGTTTTCTGCTGTACATTGACTCCTCTGGTTTGTTCAATTTGTCCAGTTTGCTGCTGAACAGGTACCTTCTAAATGAAATAGAGTTCCCAAAGCCACAGATGTTTGTATATTCTTATCTATTTGCCCCAAGAGTAACAAATTACTATTTCAGAAAATTATAATCTAATAGAACTTCCATATCTTTTGAAATCATTTTCACTGGTATCTGATGTTGTCCATTCGCTCTTCTTCAGTGTATTTCAATATTAGTGCTACTTTTTTCCGGCAGCTTTCCAAGCTATATTATTTTTGCATTGCTTCATGAACATCTTGCCTAAGGCAAACCCAAATGCAGAAGAGGCTTTATTAACTAAAGAGCAACGATTAATTTTTCACCAGTGCCCACTCTCCAGTGTCTGAGGGCGGGCATATTTCTCTTTGTGCCAAAGCTGGTGGTGGAGATGCCACTTGGACATCTGGGAATGCGTTTTTACACTATGGCTGTTGTGAACTGAAGTGAGATTGAGAGCAACCTTTCAAATAGCCAGAATGTCTTATTTTGAGACTTTCCTTCTTGGCTCAGGCGTGAATCAAAAATTTAGTTTAAAAGACCTGTTGTGTCAATGAGACCTTAACTAACTCTTTAATACCCATCAAATCATGAAATACCTGAATGTGACTAACTCTCTAAGGGAAAATTTGAAATATTTTCATAGAAGCGGGGTTTGGGGACTAGGTGGGGGAAGAGTAGAAACCATTATAGTCTGATAAGAAGACCTGAGATGTATTTACACAATTTTCATGTCTTCTAGGTCCTTCCTGCAAATCCCAACCCCAAACCCTTTGTCCTTCCCATTCCCTTGCTGGAGTTACGAATTTGAGTCTTGAAAGTATTTTACATCGTTGTGTTGGTACTTCTTCATAGTCATGCTCTGTGAAATATTCAAAAGAGAGAATTATTTCTTTCCTCTACATGCAAATAATAGCCAAAATAATAATTTTGCATTTTGAAATCTGTTCTGACAACTAATTGGGTGGTGGGCAATACTTGCTAATAGTTGAATGTTTTCTCCTACTTGTAAATGTTGTCAAACTGATTATACACGGTCATGTGGCTCAGTGGAGGAGTAAGCACTTCGTGGTATATAGGGCTTATCTGTCGTAGAATTTAGAAAATAAATTTCTATTTTGATATTTGTGGAGACAAGCAGTCTCTGTTCAGGAAGTATTAAGTGGCATAAGGAAAGACATTCTGCCTTTGCCATTGCACATAGTTTTACAAAGCAGCAAGAATGGGAATAAAAACAGTCTTTGATCAGTTTTACTACTGCTGTTAAAATCATAGGTCATTTTAACTGCCAAAATCTAGTTTATTTGCTTCCCTGACTGGCAACATTTCAGTTATTTCAATATATGTGGGTTTTATGTGTATCTCTCTTTGTCTGTGAATCCATCAGTATTCCCTATCCATCCTATTTCCTTTTAAAAGCATAAAAGTGTGTGAGAAGAATTCCCAACCAGTTTAAAATATCCATACTTATTAAATGTATGCCCCAATGTGTCTAGTCAGTTCAGAGGCAGATTGGTGGGGAGTTTTTCATTAATTTGGAAATGTCTTCCTTTTCTGAGGTCAGTGGGGAAAAGTCTCATTGATTGCAAGATGTTCACAGGTATTTGTGTGTTATGTACATTTCTTAAGGGGATAACCTGAAAAAATACCATCTTCTCTAAACTTACTGTGTAAACAATCTATCATCTTTGGTTTCAATCTACTTTCTAGATTGTCCCCTCAAAATCCTGAAGTAGCAGCAACATTCACATGTTCTTCTGTTTCTGTAGGCACTAATAAATAAATTAATACCAATAATTTGGTGATATTAATCATAAATGGCTCTAATTGAACTGCTTTGCTAAACCATCTATGCCAGCCCCATTAACAAGTTACAGCTTAAAAAGGATTTTAATAAACATCAATTAAAAGTAGCAAGTTCAATGTCATATATTTCCTGAATGTCAGCCCGAGACAAGAGTTGTACTAAATTTAACAAATGTATAATATATAAAGGTCATATCAGGACTTTGTTTATGGTTTATTTTATGGTTTATTTATATTTTATTTTATGGTGTTTGTGGTTTATTTTACACAGGAACAAACAATCATGATAAGGAACATTATAAACTCAATTGTAATAGCTCTCTTTGGACATGATACAGAAATAATTGGATTATTGTTAACTGAAGTCTAATTCTGTAATGACTTACCAAAAATTATCTGAATTATCAAGGTTAGCAATTAATGGCAGATAAAAAATTAATTTTATATAGCAATTAATAATTATTATAGTAATTTCAGAATTTATTTTATTCTTAACCAATCAAACACAATGCAGAAATGTATTTTACCGACCATAAAAATTGATTCTTCTTGAGGAACATTCTCAGGAACCCAGCACCCCTAAAGGATGTTATGTGGTATAGTTGAAGAAGCTTTAAAAATGTAAACCAACAGGCTTTGACAGACTCACCTGGTTTATTTTAATTACAACAAATACAGTAAAAGTGGGAATGCAACATTCAAATTCTTTGACCTTGAGTTGACTGAACAATGCTTCCTAGGGATATTAATGCCGGAGTACATAGAGTTTTTAGTTGAACAAACACTTCTTTTCCTTATTCATTACTTGAATTTTTGGAATATTTCAATGTTAGGACCTTGGCTTTTTCTTCTTAAGCCATTTCATCTGATTCAATTAAAAAAACTTTTCATTTTGCAAATATGAACTAATACCCTCCTCATACATGTACCTGTAGTATGTCTTTGTTTTTGGGAAAGCAAGCAATTAATGTTAGTCATGCTTTAGTTACCTGTATGTTGGCAGCAAAACAGGAAAAGTGGGGGGCAATGTAAATTGGAACTGCAAATTTAATACTTACAGATAGAGGACTGTAAAGTTCCTTTTGATTTTTCTTCCATATGTTTATTTACTCATGAGATCTAATCTTCGCCAGGCACTGAAGGAAGATCGGTAAAGGAAAAGCAGAGTAAGATTTAAACTACCAAAAAAAAAAAAAAGAGAGAAAAAAATAAAATTAAATTTAAAATTTTGGAAGACTTCAACTTATCTTTTTAAGACAAAACTCTACCACCATGAAAAGCCCCTCCTGCAGCAGAGATGGGACCTTTCCCTTTTTCCCCAAGATACAGAGCGTAAAATTTCAAATTTCTCTTTCCTGCCAACACTTTTTGGATAGCCAAAGATAGGAATTTGTCAAAGAGGATGAACAACTGGAGACTAAGATGATCCACTGACTATTTTTTCTCTGTCACAGAATATGACAAGTGCAGAAGGTCTCCTGGGACTACCTGCAGCTCCTGGCTGTATTAGCTGACATGTTCTGTCTCCTAGACCATTGCAGGCCTCTTAAATACCCTTTTCCTTTCAAAATAGAAGGCAGTCAAGTAGGAAGATTGATAACACAAATTCTCAATTTTATATATAATAAGTCTAATTGAAGCCTCATTTCCCCTGGAAATCAAAGCCTTTCAATTTTCTTCTGATTTCAATTTCCTCCTTTCAACTGAAGCCTCAAGTGAAAGCCCACAGGGATCTTCCCTCAAGGATCATCACTGTCAGGAAGGAGTCACTTTGAGAAGGGTCAGAAGGGGACAGAGGTGAGGGCACGTGTAGAGCAACATCAGAGGTGGCCTGAAGAATGGCAGGAGTGGTTGGATTTGGTTATTTACCCATCAGGATCAACTCTGTGGTTGTTCTCCACTATGCTTTGTTTCCTCTGCACTATTCCAAGGTGGTTTTTGTTTAGCAAGAACCCCTGACAGTGCTCCAGAGAGCAGGGAGGATGGGGAGCCTGCAAAATTTACCGAAATCTTCCTCCCTTCTTGAGTGTCAGGGAGAGCAGTTGTATATAGCAATCTTCTCTGCACTGATCTCTTAGGGATACAATTAAAATAGTTGGTTTTTAATTAGTTGAGGGTTTTTTAATAATGAGATCATTAAATTTTTTGCAAATAAATAGTCATATAATTTATTGACATTTATAACAGCTTCTTAAATGTGTGACTGCTCTGAAAGAGCTTCACCGTTTTTTCCTGTGCTTAAGCAATGACAGTTTATTTCACATAATTTATGTGAGTCTGAAGAGCTTCAGAATTCCCTATTTCAATGGCAGTGCTCAAGACCTTTCTGATTATTGATGATACCTGTTTTTTCCTAAAAAACCTACTCTTTAGCCTGTGTAAGGCTACAGGACACCTGTGAACACTCAACACGTATTATAGCTTAGAATTCTGAATATGGGTAAGATGGAATCGTGATTTTGCAATTCCAAATTCAGTTTTTAGGTCAAACTGCTAAATAGATGTTTTCAGCAGGATCCAAGAAC